TTTTTTTTTTATTCCATGATCGATTTTTTTGAAAATTTGTTAATTTTTTTTTAATCCATATTATTCAAAGAGAAAATGAGAGAGATGATGATTATGAGGCCACCATATCCCAGCCATATTATTCACATATCTAGTCTCAACAGCAACAGTGTAGGGATGAACACGACAGTGCAGGTGAGCATGAAGGGATGGACAAGCTTCGGGGATTTTGGATTGGGAACACAACAAAACAGTAACACTCAGGGATTTGGAAATAGTCAGACGCCTGCTAATATCGATGATTTGTTTTTAGATCGAATCAATGAAATGTTAAACGAATTCAATCAATGGCACCAACGTGACCAAGAAGATCAATAACGTCATCTATCATTTTATTTTTAGATCATATGTTACTAATTTTATGCTTTATTGTAGTCCATGTATGTTGATATACTTATTTCATGATAATTCTATGTTTATCTTTTTGTGTGATGTAAATTAAATGCTGAATGGCGGTTCATGCAGGGAAAGAACATATCAATATTCGTATATTCATTCAAAAACATGAAAATTCTTAATGGAGTACCCTAATTTCTTATTGAATTCCTAAAAAACAATATTTATAATGAATTTTAATAATTTTTCGGATTTTTTTTAAACTTTATTCTAACAGATTCACTCGATTCTCGATCCAGATCGCCGATTCGTCGATCCGCATCGGTTTTTTGGGAGCTCGATCTGGTCACCGATCCGTTTTTTAAACCATTGGTTTAAAGCATGAAAGTCCGAAGTCAATACTTTCTAACTTTTAAACATTTATGGGTCGAAGCCAATACTTCGAGTCTTTTAACTTTGGATCGGAAGCTAAAGATTTTCTTATCACTTAAAGCCCAAAGTAGTGGTATTTTGGGGCAAAAAACAATGGAAAAATGATATAAACGTGGAAAATAACAATTCAAGAATATTTTTTAGTGTGGGGTTTGTATAAAGATGTGGCTCTAAACAATCAAAATAAAACGCACCTTCAAATAGTATCGAGAAATGTGGTTCCCATGCTAAGAATCTTTGTGATAGCCCTAAAATATATTTTTATCTTTACTTATAGAATTTAAAGCTTAAAAAATGGTGTAAATCGGGCAAATATATGATAACTTGAAAATCTTGAAAATTAAACAGTCCAAAAATGCATTTCAAGATGCATTATTTTCAAAACTTGAAATACTTTTTTTACTCATATCAATGTATCTTGATGTCGAGATGATCAATTTGAAGATATTTGAGCATCAAAACAACCCCTTCTAGTGAACTTTTTGAGATGGGCTCTAATTTGATTGTTTAGAGCCTCGACTCCATATAAACTTTTTCCTATTTTTTATAATAACATTACTTTGCAAGATATGATCCTCCTCTTTGGATTATAATACAATCCCTGTGTTCTTTTGATTTGTTCGAAGTAAGAAGTTTTCGTTCTCATTTCCACAATTTGGGGGCCACGAAATAATCTTAAGTAGGGCTACTAGTGAATTGACATTAGGACCAGGTTTCTATGGGGCCACTCTCTATATTTTAGAAATGCGGATTTGGCAATAAATACATATTTTTAATATAATTTGATCTTAATTTTTTTAATATGGAGATCGTAAATACGAAAAAAAAAAAATGATATGAAAACTAAAAATAATAATAAAACATTTAGACCCTTGGTTACACTTTAAATGAACCACTTATTTGCATTCATCTTAAAAATGGATGCTCACATGATACAATTTTCGTTTACGTTATGCTCCTAGGGGAGCATATAAACTTTGCTAAAAGATATTTTACTCATTTGAGACGGGCCAGTTACTCCCTTGATTAAAACACTTCGTAAGATTATTTTAAGGAAAATTTTTGAATAGAATTCTAATTTCTCGTATTATTTCATGGTAGACATTCTTTCAATTTTTTTTTCAATCGGCATAAGAAAACCCTAAAGATTTCACCATACGTTTTCATTGCGGTATAAAATAAATTTCACTATACCCCATCATCTATTATCTCCATTTTTTATTGATTTTGATTATAAAAATTAATCCCAACAAATATTTTTATACCATTTTAACTCAAAAACTTTTTTAATGGGTGAAAAAGAAAAAAATAGTTACAAAAGTTTTGGAATGAAATGATCTATAAAGATTTGTTAGAGCTAATTTTTATGGTCAAAAGTCAATAAAATAGGGAGATAAGAGATAAGGGGATAAGAGGTAGAGTGAAATTTTTAGGGATTTTTTTATGTCCCTTTAAATAAAAATGAAAAAGAGAGTCTATCATAAAATAATACCAGAAATTAAGGTTCTATACAAATTTTTATTTTATTTTATTTTAATCCCAAAATTTGGAAATATTTATTTACTTTTAGAATAATCATGTGATAATGGTTACAAGTGCGTCGTCTGACGGAGGGTGTAGAAATAAACTATGCTCCCGAAAGAGCATACTGTGCGTGATCATAATAAACTTTTGGCTCCGTTTACTAATTACGATCGAACATTTAGGAGTATGGTACACGGTATTTACGAAATTCATGTGGTTGAAACCGACCATACCCAAGGATATACCTCCGGAAGGCAAAATCTCAACTGAGAAAACAAGAAGAACAATTTTTTCATGCGGCCTGGACTGCATGAAACAAAAATGCGGCCCAAAAAAAGTATAAAACAAAGATCGATGCAAATAGGTGATCCATCTAAAATCAATTGTAAACTAATGGCTCAAATGTTTTTTTAATATAATTATTATTTTTAATTTTAAAATTTATTTATTTTTTTATGTTCATATTTTTCATTAACCGTTCAAATATTTTTTTAATATAATTATTATTTTAATTTGAAAATTTATTTATTTATTTTCATATTCATGAAAAATTAAAAAAAAGTTTATACGGAACCGAGGCTCTAAACAATCAAATTTGAACCTATTTCAAAACTTTCATTAGAGGAAGTTGTTTTGATATCCGAATATCCTCAAATTGATCATCTCGACATCAAGATGCATAGACATGAGAAAAGAATATAGTATAATTTGTAACACATTTTTGGACTGTCATTTTTCAAGATTTTCAAGTTTTCATAGATATGTGGATCTACACAATTTTTGAAGCTTTAAATTTTATATTTAAAGATGAAAATATATTTTAAGATTATCACAAAGATTTCCAATATTGAATCCATGTTTCTCGTTACTATTTAAAAATAGGCTCTAATTCGATTGTTTAGAGCGTAGGCTCTATACAAACCGCACCCTAAAAATTATCTATCGAATAAATAATATTTATTCATCGCGAAGCCCGCATTTCTACAATATGCAGGCTGGCCGCATGCTAACGGCGTCCATTTATTGTCGCTTGTTTCCTCGGAGCGTCAATAAATACAGCGTGTGGTATCTACCCAACGTATCCAGATTGGAGCCATGGCTCGGGCTCGTTGCTCCTCCATTATTTTGTTGTTAGGCCTTCTCTGTTCCTCTCTCCCTCCTTCTCCTTCTGCTTCAGAAACAACAGCAACAACAACAAGGAGAAGTAAAAGTGAGAGCGAAATTCTGAGGTTTGATGGGAAAGGGAGATTCAAGATTGTTCAGGTGGCTGATATGCATTACGCTGATGGAGAGACCACGCCCTGCCTCGATGTTTTGCCTGAAGAAGTGCCGGGTTGCTCAGACCTCAACACAACCGCTTTCCTCAACAGGATCATCATGGCAGAAAACCCCAACCTCATTGTCTTCACAGGTCTCTATCTCTCTCGAGAACAAACTTACTGAACAGCTACGGAATTGGGGTATTAGAACTATGCAATAAAGCAAATCATATAATGATTATTTTACCTTTTTTTGATAAAAAAGTGAGTTTTAGTGTGAGAGTGATCGACCATTCACAAAATAAGGTGAAATCTTGATTCAGTTTTGGAGCTCTTCGAGGAAAGTAGGATGAAATTCCATGTCCGGAATCTCGCTCTTCGAGGTTATGGGAGTATCATGAAAAATAGCCCAATTTGAGGAACTAGCACACTTAAGTATGTAACATTCTGAAATTCCATGAATTTTTTCCTATTAAACTGTTTTTTCTCTTATGTTAATATTTTGATGCCCTCTCCTTCTTCTGAGGAGACCTTCCGAGAATTGAGACCTTCCGAGAATTATATAAGGGAAAGTGTTTTGACTGTGAGTATAATCTCCTCTCTAATGCTTTTAGAAATTTCACCCAAATTCCCTTTGCCATTTCTGATGGGTTCTTGCATACTAGTCAATGTTTTACAAGTCTGACTCGGATGCAAGTAGTAGCCCAAGTTACTTGGGCTCAGCAGGGTGAACTCCCCGAAACTCTGAGGGCTTATAATTTATTTATTATTACTCATAATTGATTTATAAATGATTCAAACTTTGACTAAATCAATTATGATTGACTCATAATTAGTTTTGTATATCTGTTATGTTCTTGTAATTATAAGTAATTTTTCTCTTTTTTCTTTTATCATTTTGCTGAGAAAATGATGCTTGACCAGTTTTCTGTACTTGTTATTCTTTGAAAACCTGAAAACTTTTTTCTCATCGTTTACGTACTCTTTCGTTTGTTTATTAGTTTTTCCTGACTTTTAAATTTTGGTGATTTTTCTCTTCTTTTGGGTTTTTTGGTTCTTTGGGTGGCTCATTGCAGACTCAAACAAGTCCACTCGGACTCCCCATGGTAACTCATCTACACCAGGCCCAAGTTCAGAGCCCGAACTGATTTCAAAAACATTGATACTAGTAATAATATAATGAACATTGATACTAGTAATAATATAACGAGTAGTTATGTGGATTAGATTTTTCAGGGTCTCTAATTTTTTTACATCTTTCTCACAGAACAGAGAATTCAAAATTGTAGCCTACAATGATAAATGTCTCTTACTACAACTATCTTTTCCAAAACCACCCAAATTGAATCACAAGTATCAGGCAAAGGGTGGCTTATAGGGGATTAGTGAACCAGGGGTTACCCATAATGGAATTTGAACTCATACATTCATTGTCTGCCGGATTGGGAATTTATTTAGTTTGTGTTTGTTCCCTGAGTTGGTGTTAATTTTTTTTCTTTTTTTTATAGTCTTTTTATATCTGAGTATCTGACTGTTCATTTCTCATACAAACGTGAGCTCATTTCATTAGGCCAAATCCTTTTCTCTCATGCTCTACGATTTTGGTTTTTCCATGAATTGCTCAATGGGACTAATCTCTCTCTCTCTCTCTCTCCAGGTGATAATATCTTTGGCCTGAATGCAGCTGACTCTGCAAAGTCTATGAATGCTGCTTTTGCACCTGCTGTTCATTCAAAAATTCCTTGGGCTGCGGTTCTAGGAAACCATGATCAAGAATCCACATTAAACAGAGAAGAGGTGATGAAACACATTGTCTCAATGCCTCACACTCTCTCTAGACTAAATCCACCATTGAGCTCTTGTGATGGTGACCATATTGATGGCTTTGGGAATTATAATCTGGAAGTTCATGGTCCAATTGGGTCAAAGCTCCATAACAAATCTATCCTGAACTTATATTTCTTGGATAGTGGTGATTACTCTACTGTTCCATCAATCCCTGGTTACGGGTGGATCAAGCCTTCTCAGCAAGTTTGGTTTCAGAAAACATCTTCTGAGTTGCAGGTATTTTGTATTGTCATTTCTTTTGTTTTATCCCACAAGCATTTCCTTTCTGTTTTTGTTGAACTATCACTATTTGAACGAGATTGGGACTTGGTTGCAAAGGTTTAGAGATTTGAAATTCAGATCCTAGAAAACTTTGGTGCAAGGGTCCAAAAACAGGATCTGAGATCCTCATCAATGCACAAATTTTTCCAAAGGATCTCAGGCTGGCAATGATTATTGAGGAAATGCTATAATATGCATAAGCACCCAAATAAGTACTTTGTGTAGTTAAGTCACCTTGAACCCCAACTTACCCTTTTCTTTTCTAGGTCAGGAAAGAAGTACATTACACATGAGAAATGTTAATCCTTGTCTCTTATTATCAACAAATCGAAGTAGTAAATTGCAGTTTGTATGGCCTTCTTGCAATACGTATTCCTTCTCTTTCATCAATATAGTGCAATGCTAAATGTACTATGAATGTGGCCAACTGCCTCTCTATAATCTTAGAAAGCACCCCATCCTATCACATAGCATGGAATCTCATTTTAGTTCTTTTTAAAATGGGCATTCTAGGAAATATTCTCTATGAGCAGGTTTGAGCACTTCTCTTAGGGGTCCAATAGGAGAAATTTCTATAGTTTGTGGAATAGTAGAACCTTTGTTACTGCAACCATCCTTTGGAATGTTGCATTGTTTCCCTTGCTATTATGGCCTAGCAAACCATTTGGGCTGCTTAACCCAAATGTTGGTTAGGACCTGCCCACAGATATTTATCACAGTGCATGCTTTCATGAAACCTACAGCATTATTGCAGGAAATCTCCTTCTTAAGGTGTGAATTGAGAGTATTCACCAAGTAGCTCGATCCCTAGGTATCAATTCATAGTAGAACAAAGAAGGAAAGAAAGAAAGACAAGAACAGATAAGACCAATGACTTGGTTGACTTAGATTTTCATTGTTACTTTGTAGTTTTGCCGCTAGCCAGAATAGAATAGCTGGTTTCATCTCCCAATGCTTCTATAGCCTGCCTTATTGGAAGCATGTTGATGGAATGAATGGGTAACTGATCGAACCGAACCACTCCTAAAATAGGATTGGATTTCCCTCCTGGCTGTCAAGTTAGCGAAAGCTTCCCTAGTTTTTATTTGACTTGCTTTATTAGGGTTTTAGGCGTATAAAATGGTTATTCAAATATACAAATAGAGAATCCCTATAGACACGAAATATAGTGTTGCTATTACTTCTAAAGGAGTAACAAGACAATAAGTTCACAGTTCTTTTGGGGAAGATGGCCCGACTATCATGAGGGCAAATCTTGACTTTTTTCCTTTTTTTTTAGGGTAGATCAGCGGGAATGGGGGTCCCTGCCGGAATGGAATACAAGATGTCATGTTGGGGCTCCCACTACATTGACCACCCATGCCTTTAGTCTTCTACATGAAGTATGCTCATGTATGAACTTACGCAGTTGGAAAAACCCAGCAAAAATAGAAAAGCTACTAAAAGGACCATGATGTTATTAATCTTTGCTGTAGCTAATTGTCATACTATTTTCTGATTTCATGTACTAGCACTAAGTTCTTTTCTATATTTTTGGGTAGCGGAGATACAAGACTGGGCCTGAAGCTCAAAAGAGGGGAGCACCAGGGCTCGCATTCTTCCATATACCTCTTCCTGAATTTAGCAGCTTTGATGCCTCGAACTTCACTGGTGTGAAGCAAGAAGGCATAAGCTCCCCTTCTATAAACTCTGGCTTCTTCACTACCATGGTTGAAGCTGGAGATGTGAAGGCTGCTTTCATTGGTCACGACCATGTGAATGATTTTTGTGGGAAGCTCACAGGCGTTCACTTGTGCTATGCGGGTGGGTTTGGATACCATGCCTATGGTAAGGCCGGTTGGCCTCGTAGGGTTCGCATTGTGGTAGCTAATACTAACCCAATGAATGGTGCGGTGAAGTCCATTAAGACTTGGAAGCGGCTCGATGACCCTAGCCTCTCGACCATTGATGTGCAGACACTATGGAGGAATAACTCATCTGGTAAGCCTTGAAACTATTTTTGTTTTGATGCTTTCGTTTTGATGTAGTGCGGAAGAGTGGTTTAGGCTTATTGAGAACTTGAGGTAGAGGTAGCAAAGAAGAAAAAAGAAAGCTGGAATTTTCTTCAAGATTCATCTTTTTTGCCAAAAATCTGAACTTTTGCCCTTGTGTTTCACAATATGTTTTCACAAATCTTGTCTCGTATGTTCCAATTTCTTCCATATCTCTTATTTTTGCTTTTCCACTGCTCATTTTTTATTTTTCGCAATTCTTTTGAATTTAATATTTTTGTAAGCCAAATATGCAAATGGGCCTATTTGGCTGATTTTGGCGCCTTAAAGTTTTTGCATCATATGGCGTTCTGGCTGACAATTTTGACAACATTAATGTGGATTTTATAATGGTCTCAATTGCAGTTTAGAAACTATTGATTTTGAAATGGTTTTCATCAGGGAAAGAAATCTATTGAGATTTTGGGATTTGGAATTACTTAAAAGTGTTTCAATAAAGTATAGTAGACATGGCTGATGTTGAGAATTTTGGCTACGATTTCATCTAAATTATGAAGAAAGTGCACCAAAATTAGATGAACTTCGCCCAAATGTAAAACTAACTTGCCACTAAAAGACATTTAAATATTTTTAAGTCACCCAATGGGATTTGAACCCGAGTTGTAATGTTGTAAAAGTCAACCCTCTTTAACTAATGCAGCCTGTTCACTTGACCTCCCACCAGCCAGGATCTGAATCCCAAGGACCTTTAAATTTTCGAATGGAGAAGTGATGGGTATGTAAAATGCTTCATACTTATTCCATTAATGAAAGTCCGTGGTTTTCAATTTGAGGTTTTGAGTCTTTTGGCAAGGCTATCAGTATTAATAGAAGGGGAGGTATATCATACCGCATGTAATCTGCTCTTGCCGCACATCATGTAGGCCGACCCTGTATATTCTCAATGAATGATGGCTAAGTAAATAATACCTCCACCATTGTCCACTCAAGCAGACGAACGGTTCTCCATTGTCGGTCACTAAGAACAGATGGTGGAGACTACACTTAGAATGACATGCGACCCCTAGTACATGAAAATCACTAGCAAATGGTAATTCAGAAAGTATTTCACATGGTAGCATTATATTTGTTGGTACACCATCGGGACAGTCACTGTCCCTTTACTGACACAAAGAGATGGCGGAAACTAACAGCACCCAGTGAATGTCCATCACTGGAAAGTGGACACTGAAACCATCCTTTATTCAATCACTGTTTGTCACAAGGAATAGCATTGCATGTAACCATGGTCAGCGTTACATGGATGGTAGATGTTTAAGGTGTCTAGTTTGCTGGACCAAAAAGCAGGTACTGCACATGCAATTGTTCTTTTATTCTATTAATTTTCATATAAACAATTCAGAAATTATAAAATAAAATATGGATATTCAAAATGTAGAGAAACATAAATTGAAACAGACTCTGCAAGAAATTCATTTATCTTTGTTTGAATTTTTTAAAATATTGCAGATTTTGACACCTATGAATACTGTAATTGTGTAAATGACATACACAGTTCCTTGCGGTAGTGTTAGAGCGTTTGATCACCTTAGGAGGTCATGGGTGCCTGAGCAATAGACACTTTTGAAATAGCATGACAGAATGTCGTGGTCTAGACATTGACGATTTGTTCATATTACATTTTATTGACACGTGTTGATAAACGATACCAAGCAATTTGTCACAATATCTCACTATCTTTACCAAATCTCTCTCTCATCATGCTAATTTTTCATGTACAGGAAGACGCAAGAAGGGTATACAAGGTGTTATCTGAGCCCTTTACCTGGAGCACATAAAAAGAGTGCATTTACAAGGCGTTAGAAGAGGATACAAGGTATTGTGTACGCTATTGCCCGGAGTACATGAAAACGGGTGTGGTAGAGAGAGCTAGAGAGGGGGTAGAGAGAAAGGGCGTCGTCTTGTAAGCAAATAAGCTACTTGACTATAAAATTATGGAAAAAATTTATATAGGGTTTACAATGTAGAAATCAAGTGCACATCAAAAAAGAATTGTATACTACCAGACCATTTATCTTTATTGTAAGGAGGTTACAATCACTCTCATTTATTAGATGCAAATTGGATTACTTGAGTGTTACAAATTTTAGAAAATTTTGTTTGAATTTTGAGTCTAGTCAATGACATGCTTGCAACCACTCAATTTAAAATTGAAAGACAAGAGATTGTGACATCTTTGTACTAAAAGTAAGTGGTATCTTTGTATACTTTCTCATAAAAAATCCATTGAAAAATGTTATTGTGATGGTGGAAAACCATCTATTTAATATCAACATCAATATATATAGAAAAAAAACAGATTTTAAGTCCCAAGAATAAGTATAGCCTACAACACATTCTTTTGACCGTTCATTTTCAATATTTTCATGTGTTTATAGATCTATTGATGTAAACTATTTTTGTGGAGTTTAAAATTTTATAATTAGGAACGAAAATGGTTTTTCTGACATTCTTAAGAATTTTTTACATCAAAGTTACATCTTAAGACAAAGTTTGGAGGTGTGTCGCAACCAAATGCAAACCACATCCTAAAAGTAGTGGTTAGCTTGAGCTGGATGGTAACGTATGCATATTTTTATGCTCCCATTATATATACTAGTGGGGGCACGGGCATGGCATATAGTGACGCTTTAAACGGAATATTATTGTTATAAAAATAAAAAGTTATATATTAAGGACACGGTTTTTATGAGTCGGCCAATTCATATACACCCTCTCTCCATAATCCTTTTTTAGATGGATTTTGAATTTGATTTTCTGGGAATATATAATTTTTAACATGGGATCAATAGTATGTTAAAAAAAAAAAAAGGATTTAAAATTTAAAAATAATGGTTTTTGAAGAATAAATTTAGGCTGTCAATTTTGCTTTTATATAAGGCTAACACTTGTTCACATATATCCTTAGGATGGATGACACAAATGCAGAATTGCATCCGTTGACATAC